ATGGGGAGACGGGCGAGCAGAACTGGGGAGAGGGGTCAGGTCCCAGGTCACAGTCCCAAAGGGACGCCAGGGCTAGACGTGTCCAGCTCCCGGGAAAGCGTCCCTGGGGTTCCCTCACGCAGGGATGCCTAGCGCCTGCCGCTCTACCAGTCATCGTCAACAAACCGGCCTTGTCACCGCCATGCCAGACCGCACTGCTGCACCCCCGCCTCGTCCCTGCTGAGCACTGACTGGCTGGGCTCCCAGGGTTCCCAGCACCCCTGAGGGTTGGAGCTCGCTCCGCACCCGGCCTGGAGCGCCCTCATGGTCACTGGGGAAGGGATCCAGGCAGTTTCTTATGGCACCGCATGGAAGGAGCAGGCGCAAGGTGGAATGGTCCCCAAAACAAGAAAAAGCGCAGAGAGGCTTCTTGCTCTGGCCGAACACCTGACGTGTGTCCACCCGCCCCCGTTCTGCCACCCGTCTGCTCTTGTGGACTGTCCCTGCTAGCTGGGACCCCTACACCTACGACGACAGTGGCTCCACGTGATTCAAACAATCATTTAAAAATACACCCAAGTTAGTTCTAACAAATCAAGATCCATTTAAAAATACACCAAGTATTCTACCAGGTCAATCGCAAGAACAGCCCCCTTCCCACCCTCCCACATGCCCAGCGCCCACTCATAGAAACACCTGCGCCCCCTCCCACCACGCCCAGCCCCCACCCCTGTTTCTGTGTCACAGGCTACACTGTCCTTCTTAGTTTTTCATCATGAGACATTTTCTGTTGGTTAATCTTCCTTCTTACTCGTACACACCATGCCGGGTACGGAGCCGAGATTTTCTACTTTTTTTTTTGTTTTAAGAAGACAGGATCTCAACTCCATCACCCCAGCTGGGAGTGCCAGTGACGTCGCCGCGTTAGCTAGCTGCACTGCAGCCCCCCGTTCTTTTTTTGTTTTTGAGACAACGTCTCACTTTTCGTTGCCCGGGCTAAGCAGTCTGCCGTGGCGTCAAGCCTAGCTTCACAGCAACCTCAACCACCCAGGTCCTCTGGGCTCAGGATCCCCCCTGCGACAGCCTCGTCGCCGATGTAAGCTGGGGGACCCAAGGCCACGCGCCCACCCATGCCGCGGACCTAATTTTTTCTATATATTTTTTAGTTGGCCAAATAATTTCTTTATATTTTAGTAAGACGGGGTCTCGCTCTTGCTCAGGCCTGGTGTATATCCTGACCTTGAGCGACAGCCATCTGCCGCCTCGGCCTCCCAGAGTGCTGGGATTACAGGCATGAGCCACCCGGCCCCGGCCTTTTTTTTTTTTTTTTTTTTTTTTTAATTCTTCAGCTGAAACAACAGAAGGCGATTTATTGTGTGCTTGTCACAGCGGCCACAGCTGAGAACAGAGCTAGTCCAGAATGTCAGGGGCAGGGCAAAGGACCAGTGGGGACTGTTCTGGTGTGAGCAAGATGGGTCTCTCAGAGGCGGCCTTGGTGATCGGACGGCGATGACTTTCTAGATCCACTGAGAGGCAGGTTCTAGACAGCAGCATGCAGCCCGGCAACTTATCCCAGCGTCCCCCGATTCTGGCCTTCCATGTTTCTGCTCTTGTGGCCTTCGCGTGCGCACAAGCAAGCGGTGTACTTGGACCTCGGCTTCCTCTTTCTTTTTTTGTGCTTCATTCTGTGCATTCGCTTCTTCCTCCACTTGGCTATCACGGCGCGGAGGTTTCTAGAAAGGAGGCGCTAAGGCTGAGAGCTCACTGCAGCCTTGAACTCCTAGGCTCAGGCGATCCTCCTGCCCACTCAGTCTCCTGAGTGGCTGGGAATACAGGCACGTGCCACCACGCCCCCGGCTGATTTTTAATTTTTTGTACAGATAAGATCTCGCTATGTTGGTCAGGCTGGTCTCAAGCTTCTAAGCCTCAAGCAACCCTCCTGCCTCGGCCTCCCAAAGCGCTGGGATGCAGGCTGAGCCGCTGCGCCGGGCCTGCACTGACGTGTTGCTCTGCGGTGAGGTCAGGGCCTCGGGGCACCAGTCACTGGAGCAGCACACACTGCTGGACCACAGAACACAGCAACAGTGACATTCTGGGACCTCAGAAGAAGCCTGGCAGCTTACACCTGCTGGGCCTCTTGAGACACTTGCTCTTGGAGCCACCAAACCACCTCCCACCGTCTACCCCACTTCTGTTGATTTCTTAAAGGGAAGGACGAGGGTTTTATTCTCGTATACCCCAAGACGCTTCTTCGCCTGTGCTTGCGGACTATGGGAAGTGGCCACGGCGGGGCCACGCGGTGTGTGCTGTCTGCGGGCCTTGTCCAGAGCAGCTCTGCCCCGCCCCACTTGGCTCCATTCCGCTTGCTTCGTTTCCTACGTCATGTCACAAGTTCGTCTTTGCACTCTAGTGGGAGGTGTAACTCTCCCCCCGAAATGTTCAAACCATCGGCCGCGCCTGCATTTTCACAGAGACGGCCCTCTGGAGCTCACTGACTCTTCTGCCCGTGGGGACACCTGTCGTCTCGGTGCCCCTTTCCCCTTCTGGGCCCGGCCCTCTGTTTCCTTATTTCCCTTCCTTCACCCTGGCTCACTCCGGCGACATAACGCGTCGTGTTCTCTAGCACCTTCCCGAGGAAAGGGGTGAAATGTTTGGCTTTGCACGGAAATAATCTGTCTTCAGCACCTTGGGGGCATGCTGCTCCGGTTATTTACTGCTGCTCAACAAGAGTGCCCCAAAACTTAGTGGCTTAAGCAACGATTTGCCATTATTATATTTCATGAGTTTGTAGGATGGGAATTTGAACAGGGCATGGCAGGAATTGCTCAGCTTTCTCCTGGGGGCCTTGACTGGGACCGAGGAATGCCGGGGGCTGGCACGGAGGGCTGGCCGGGCGTCTTGCTCTCTCTCCACGCAGGCGCCTCAGCATGGCTGGCTTGGGCTCCCTCACAGCATGGCGGCCTCGGGGTGGTGGGATTTCTTTCAAGGCATCTCCGAGTTCCAAGAGCAAGTGTCTCAGGAGGCCCAGCAGGTGTAAGCTGCCAGGCTTCTTCTGAAGTCCCAGAATGTCACTGTTGCTGTGTTCTGTGGTCCAGCAGCCACTGAGGCCAGCTCAGGTTCAAGAAGAGAGAGAGTTAGATGTCACTTCTCAGTTAGATGTCACTTCTCATAGCAAGACCGCGCCCGGCCGAGATGGGGTCTTGCTATGTTGCCCAGGCTGGTTTTGAACTCCTGGGGTCAAGTGATCCTTGGAGTGTCAAAGCGTCTGCACCATCAACAGCCTGCCACGCACTGCTGCAGTAACTCCGGGGCTGTTGACAAAACGCCCCACGCCTTCCGGTTCTGGTCCTTTGCAACTGGCTTGTTTTTCTCTCCAGAGGGTCTCAGGTCTTCTTTTTATCCCTAGTGTTCTGAGAATGCTTTGATGTGGGTTTGTTTTTTTTTTTTTTCCCTACCTTTTCCTTTTTCTCATTTGTGCTGGAGACCCTTTCAGTCTAGAGCTTTATGTTACTCATTTATAGGAAATCTATTGTTTGTACTTCTTTGATAGTTTCCTCTGTCTGTGGTCCTTTTCTGATTCTCTTTCTGGAGTCTCTGTTTTTAGAGATAAGATCACACCCTGTCACCCATGTTGGAGTGCAGAGGGACTGTCTTAGCTCACCGCAGCCTTGAACGCCTGAGCTAGAATGTTCCTCCTGCTTCAGCCTCCCGGGTAGCCGAGACTATAGGCTCACAGTGTGATGCCTGGCTAATTTTTAAAACTTTTTGTGGAGATGGGGTCTTTTTTTTTTTTTTTTTTGGCATCGGAGCCTTGGCTCACAGCAACCTCCAACTCTGGGTCAAGCGAATCTCGCTGCCTCAGCTCCGAGTAGCTGGAGGCATGTGCCGCCATGTCCAGCTAATTTTTTGTGTATGTATTTTTTAGTTGGTCAAATTAGTTTCTTTCTATTTTTAGTAGAGACAGGGGTCTCGCTCTCGCTCAGGCTGGTTTCAAACTCCTGACCTCGAGCGATCCACCCACCTCGGCCTCCCAGAATGCTAGGATTACAGACGTGAGCCACCGCGCCTGGCCGAGATGGGGTCTTGCTATGTTGCCCAGGCTGGTTTTGAACTCCTGGGGTCAAGTGATCCTCCCACCTTAGCCTCCCAGGGGGCTGGGATTACAGGTGTGAGCCACCGTGCCCGGCCACAATTATTAAATGTATCGGCAATGGAGACGATGGACCCTGCCCACCCGCAGAGTCTCTGGATGGTCCTGGGCGAATCGCAGCCCCCCTGCAAGCCCTGGGCTTTGAAGGGTGCCATGAGCTTGGAGCCTGGAAACAGGCAGGTGAAGGGTAGTGGTTGAGGGATTGATTTCTGGACTGCAAAGGCCTGTGCTCAAACATGGCCTTGTGGCCGGTGCGGTGGCTCACGCCTGTCATCCTAGCACTCTGGGAGGCCGAGGTGGGTGGATCGCTCGGTCAGGAGTTTGAAACCAGCCTGAGCAAGAGCGAGACCCCGTCTCTACTATAAATAGAAAGAAATTAATTGGCCAACTAATATATATATAGAAAAAAAACTAGCCGGGCATGGTGGCGCATGCCTGTAGTCCCAGCTACTCGGGAGGCTGAGGCAGGAGGATCGCTTGAGCCCAGGAGTTGGAGGTTGCTGTGAGCAAGGCTGATGCCAGGGCACTCACTCTAGCCTGGACAACAAAGCGAGACTCTGTCTCAAAAGCAAACAAACAAATAAAAAAATCATGGCCTTGTCATTGATTCTCTGTGTGGTCTCAGGCCGGCTCCTTCATCTCTCAGCCTCAGTTTCCCAACAGCCACCTCTTCCTCGTAGGAATTATGACATTGCACATTAACTGCCTGTAGCAGAGCCTGGCACACAGTGGGTCCCGAATTCTGGGATCAAGTTCAGGTTCAGCTGTCTTGCCCACCCCACCTAGTTTCCCCCTTGGTCGACCCCACCCTGGGGCATCTGGAGAAAGGACAGAGGGTGACAGAGGCCCTAGGAGAGACCTACTGAGTGGTGGTGGTAGGTGGGCTCGGGTCGGACCCAGGCAGTGGGGGTCTGCCAAAAGGATGGGGGCCTGGGTGCAGGCACCCTCTTCCCGAAACCTCTTCCCCTAGGTCCCTCCGGACGTGATGGCCCAGCCCTGGCTGTCCTGCCTTCTGCTTCCTGCCCTCGTGGTGTCTGGTGGGTGCTTCCCTTCCCCCACCTGGTGGGTGCTTCCCTTCCCCTCCACTCCAGCACAAAACTGGGGACCCTCAGCGGGACCCTCCAGAAGGGAGAGGCCACCCCTCATCGGCAAACACCCATTATCCCCCCGGCCCTGTGCGCGGCTGCCCTGGGGCGGGCTGGGTGGGCTCCCAGGGGAGCGGGCGGGAGTCCGGTTTTGCAGGGATGTCCAGATGTTCCCACACTCTGTGTCCCTGCAGTGGCAGCCAACGTGGCCCCCAAGTTCCTGCCCAACATGACGGTAGTGATCCTGCCTGAGGACCTCCCCCTGGGTGAGTGATAGGCCCTGTGCCCCACCGTGCCCAGCCCTCACCTTCAAGGGAGTCCGGGCGCAGGTGGCATGGAGGGGGCTTGCTCAGTTCCAGGCGTTGGTTTCCTCCTTGTCGGCTTTTGGGGGGAAAGCAGCAGCCTTCCCGGGTGAGATGTCACCCTCATGCAGCGCCGTGCGGTCATGGTCGCCGTCTCCCCTCGTTTTTAGTCTTTCTGATTTCCAAAGGGGGAGGCATCTGCGGGGACCCCTCTCTCTGCCCCGCCCCGCTCGCTGACCCCCTGCACACACCCCTGCCCGTTTGGATGTGGTTGCTGGGACGGCAAAGTCTCTTAAGGGTTATATTAGTAAAGGTTTAGAGCCCAGGCTGAGGGAGGAGATAGTTTCACTCTGAGATGGCACAATGTCCCCTGGAGGACTGGCTGAGGTCAAATGAATAGTTATCTATGAAATGTTATCTATGAATAGTCTTTGCAGAACAGAGAAGTATTGTATATATGTTAATGATATTTACATATATTTTCACAGCTGTTTCCTCCTAATAAAAATAAACACATATAGGCCCCGCGCGGTGGCTCACACCTGTAATCCTAGCACTCTGGAAGGCTGAGGCAGGAGGATTGCTTGAGGTCAGGAGTTCGAGACCAGCCTGAGCAAGAGCAAGACCCCGTCTCTCTACTAAAAGTAGAAAAATGAGCTGGGCGTGGTGGCTCACGCCTGTAATCCTAGTACTCTGGGAGGCCGAGGCGGGCGGATTGCTCGAGGTCAGGAGTTCAAAACCAGCCTGAGCAGGAGCGAGACCCCGTCTCTACTAAAAATAGAAAGAAAATTAATTGGCCAACTAATATATATAGAAAAAGCTAGCCGGGCATGGTGGTGCATGCCTGTAGTCCCAGCTGCTCAGGAGGCTGAGGCAGGAGGATCACTTGAGTCCAGGAGTTTGAGGTTGCTGTGAGCTACGATGACACCACTCTACTCTATCAGAGGCGACAGAATGAGACTGTGTCTCAAAAAAAAAAAAAAAAAAAAACACAGGAAAATAAAAATAAGTAAATACGCTCACATCTCCAAACAAATGTCACAAATGCATGTAACCCAAATGCACTCACAACCTCCTTCATCCTGGGCAACCGTTCAATAACTAAATGCAACTTCTTGAGTCCCCTTCCTGGTTTCAGAGACTCCTCCTGTGCGTGTGGTTTTGGGGGTTCCTTCTCCTGCCGCGCCCCTCTTGGCGCACCCCCGCCCCCCGCCAAGTGTGCCCATGTCTTTGCTCCCAAGCTTGCTGCTTGCTCACTCACGCTTACGAAGGTTGGATGTGTGTTAGGAAAGATCCAGCACGCGCAGGAACGCTCACGCTGGTCTCTTGCCACCCGGCCCTTGCAGCCTCAGAGGGTGGCTGGGCGAGGGCCAGGCCTGCCACTCGGCCGGGGTTCCCTTGGCGTTCCCCGGGGCCCCTGCACACTCCTCGCCGTCCTCAGGCCTCCCTGGGACATGGAATCTAGAATCGCGATGTGACGCTGAGGTCTCGGACGTGAACACAGGGCCAGTGGCCTTCGGGGGAGGGGGCCAGATGCCAGGAGGGATGTTTGGACCAACCTTCGGAGTGGAGCTGTTGTCAGTCTGCTCTTACCAAATCGAGCTGCGCAGCCTGGAGCAACGCCCCCAAGGAAGCGCTGCTATCAAAGGCTCTAGGAGGCTGCGAGTGCCAGCGTCCTGACCTGGGCGGGGGAGCCCTGATGTGACTTGGGGAGCTCTAGATTTACAGGTCTGCTGAGTTGCAGAGAACCAGCCCTGGCCAGCCTCATGGGCAGCTCGGCCCCGAGAGAGTGGTGGCTGTGGACCTCTGTTCTACGCCCCAGTATGCGGAGGCCTGTCTCGCAGCTGGTACCGAAGACAGACAATGAACGAAGTTGGCCCAATTGTTAGCGGGCTCCAATGCCCATTCTTCAACCTGTCACCGCAAACACTGGCGAGTGAGGCTGGCCTGCCCTCCTGGACGTGCAGAACAAAAACAAACAGTGAAAGAGACCAACAGAGACGCCCGACGAGCCGGCCTGACGCAAGAAGATAGGGGCGCAAGCGCCTGCGCCTGTGTCCCCCGCAAACCACAAAGCAGAAACCGGATAGCTCACCGGTTGGGCCACCTCTCTACTCCGCGCCGCCTGCAGGCCCATCACAACACATCCCCGCATCCCCCTCTCCCAGAGAAGAAGACTACCCACTACCTAGTGGTCCCGGAACGTGGGCGACACCAGCCGTCACCAGCAGCGTGGAACCCCCATCGACGCACAGCAGAGAGCACCCTCCACACGCTATGACGAACAGAAGGTCAATATCAACTACAATCGCACCACACAACCTATAGAACTCTGCTCATATGTGTGTAGTCAAGACCAGATCCCGGTCAAAAACATACTTATCGCTATTGTATTATTTTTTTTCTCTCTGTCCTAAATGGCTATCATAAATGATACTCGCTCTTGCCTCTATGTAATGATCTTCCACCCCCCCCCAGCAGCCACAACCACACACCCATCGCATTAAAGTATTGAGTGCACTCCACCCCACCCACTACACCTCACATAATAACTCCACTGACCATATGAATTTAACCTGACATCCACAACCCTACATAACATGTGATATATGCAAACAACACCAACTCCATCAAACTCTAACTATAA